TTTTTTTTTTTTTTTTTTTTACGTCTTTCTTTCAATTTTTGCTTCTTTTTTTTTTTTATTTTTTTCTTTGCAGCATCGAAATATGAAAAATTCATTTTCGACCATTCTATATGCATACATACATGCATACACACACTTACATATATGTATATACATATATATTCGAGGAGATCCACATGGGTCGCAAGAATAGGTTGACAGGATAGACTCTTCTAATAGACTTTGCAGACGGACATAATAGAAATATTTAATATATAGCATCATATATTAATATAATATTTAGTAATAATATAATATCTATTATATATTAATATGTATGATATTTTTTTTGTTTTTAATAATAGCGTTCTTTTTCTTCTCGCTTTGTTTGAGGTGTGATATCCAGCGATCTTTCCTTCTTTTTCTTTTTTTTTTTCTTTTTTTTTTAATTTTCTTACATTCAAATTTAGTACGATGTAAGTACGATTTTCACTTCAGCCTTATTCGAATATATTATATAATCCTCATTGAATTATATCAGGCATTTTGTACGACCTGTCGACTCATACAACCATCGTCTGGTCGTTTCACAACGTATGCGTATTCTATCGTACGAAACGAAATATTAATTTCCTTTGAAATGATTTAAAAATGAATGATATGAATGATAAAAATAACGATATATTTATATAATATTATAATTTTATGTAACGATACGTTCTTACTATTAATTTAAGCATCTTGTTTCTATAAATATATTAAAATATGGAATAGATGTTGTACAAAACAATATAGAGAATATTACGAAAAAAAAAAAAAAAAAAAAACATTTTTACTTTTCTCTTTGATTCTTTAATAAAAGGATCAATGAAAATCGTAAGATTTATAACATTAAGGGACAAAGATTTATAAGTTCGTTAAAGTTATCTAAGAAATTTACTAACGTTTGAGTATATAAATATCTCGAAGAAAACACCATTATAGCATAAACTTTTCTGGTTCTATCATTAGATTGTCTCACAAAAATCTTCTTCGTTTCACGATCAAACAGATTATATTTTACATTTGGTTAAAGGAAAATAGTAAACGTAATATATTCATTTTCAGTTTCGTTTATTAAAACTTTTAAATATTAAACATTATGAAACAATCTAATGTATCCACCCAACGTACAATAAATAGAATCTGATACGCTACAATTTATCGATACAAGTAAAACGGTTTAAGAGTTTTAATTTATTCAATGATTCCTAATAAAAGCCAATTATTAAAATAATATATAAAATTTGTGTAAACGCAACATTATCGAAAGACGCAAGGCAATGTAAAATAATTTACATTTACTGTTTTATAAAATATATTGTAATAATAGATATCTCAGTTGTACAAATTATAATCCAAAAGAAAAAATTATCGCAGAATTAATTTATAAGAAAAAGAAATAATTATAGTAATAATGTTAAAAGAATTAGAATTAACTTAATCAAAATTGATTAGAAAAAGAAATTATACATGCTATGTTAATTCAACGTTAATCCTTAAATTCTTAATTATCCGATATTAAAAAAAAAAAAAAAAAAATCAATCTTAGCATACTTAAACGAGAAGATCTAAATCATGATAATCGAGAAATGAAAAATACGCATGGCTACACGCTAATAGTGAAAAATTGTCGAGGAACCTTGTTTTCAAGCGTGGATACTAGGATGGAAGCGAGACGCACAAATATGAAAAAAGAAAAAAGAAGAAAAAAAACAACAAAACATATAGAAATTTCTACACGTGGCACAAAAGTTTTTTTTACTCATTGCCGCAAGATTTTTTCTCTTTTTGTACAAAATTGTTTTTTTTTCGTATTTTCAGCAACGTCGCGAAACGATCTCCACGAACAAAGTTTATACAAGTTATTACGAAGCTTGGAGGATCGTTCAGAGATTGATACACGCACACACATACGCACGCACGCATATACGCACAGACACATACACCGACGTTGTTTAAAAATTGTGCAGAGAAATGAAAGAAGGAAGGAAGGAAGGAAGGAAGGAAGGAAAGAGGAAAGGAAGGAAGGAAGGAAGGAAGGAAAGAGGGAAGGAAGAAGAAAGGAAGGAAGTAAGTAAGTAAGAAAGTTAGAAAACGAAGTAAAAGAGTGTGTCCCCGAGAGATTGGGCTAAAATATTTTCACCTCGTGCTTTATATCGCTAGACTTCACGAATAATCGTTTATTATTATTATATTATATTTCCCTACACAACTACCATTCATCTTTGATATTTCTTTCGTCTCTCTCTCTTCTCCATCTCCTTCATATTAT